GAGGCGAAAATAAATAAATAAAAACGAAAAAATCTGAAACTGCATTTTAGACTTTTTCCAACATCTAAAGATACGTTTGTTCATATGTAAAAATTCCCAAGTTTTTATGCATTCGTTTCCTTGACAGAATAATACATCACTGACAGAGTAATGCAGTATTTATTCTCCATATACTCAGTATTTTCCTTTATTGCATTTCAGAATATTTCTTTTTGGTTTTTTATTTTTAATGTGCCTCGTTTAATCCAGTGATACTGTTACATAAATTTAACAAAGGAAGCCACAGATCGAAACATAAAAAAAAAAAAAAAACTTAATTTGGTATTTGGATAAATATAAAGATTACAGAAACAAAAATAAATAAAATGATTTAAAAAGGAGCAGGTTAAACCATTCTAGCTCAAAGCTAGCAAGATACAGGCAGGCATCCACACACATAAGATGCGAGGCGGTGGCCAGTGCTGGGGGCTCAGGATAAGGAGGGAGGTGATGTGGGCAGGGACAAAGGACACACACGCATGTGCATACACCAGCAACTGCTGGGGACTCTGGGCATAAACAGTGGTAGTGGGACCAGGTGTTTGTGCTGGGCAGCCTGTGGGGTCAGACGGGTGGATGGATTGTCATATGGTTGGAGGTGTGTAAGCGACAGACAGATAGAAAAGGGAGAGGGGGGGTGCAGCCTTATCAGGCCAGGGCCAGACCACCATACACCTCTCCTGCACCCAGCAGTCAGACTGGACTGGGCAAACTGCAGGCCAGCAGCACTGTGTGGGGCTTGACTGGTGAGGGTAAGCTATGTGCAACGTGTGTGTGTGTGTGTGTGTGTGTGTGTCAGACTGAGCATGTTTACCCCAGTTGCACGCTGGGAGTAGGCAGGCTGGTAGCAGCCAGCACAGATAGGTGCAAGCACAAACATGCGCACAGGTTGGGCACCACAAGCAACGGAGATGGACCACCACCAACTTTGGTGAAAGTCTCTGTGTGAGAGCAATTCAAAAGGCTTTAGCTTTTAAACCGACAGACTGTCTTTATAACGCATTCGAGTTCAGGATTAAATAAACATTTCATTCGCGCCTCTGCGGAGCATGTCTGTGGGTTGTCTCGTGTGTCCGTCACCATTGCTTCGTTGTCAGTTTTGTCCTAAATACAAAGGTACAATCCCTTATCTGCAGTTTTAAAATGAAATTAAAGCAAAGAGTTTTAATTTCACCATTTCCTGATTAAGGAGACCTTTTAATCAGCAGCTATAAAGCCCACAGCCAATGGCGTCTTAGGATAAACGAAACCTACTAAAGAAAAAAAGTACAATTGAGTTCTCTTTGTAAATGCAGCTGGCTGATTCTCTCTGGCTTTGTGTGTCTGTCTTGCCAGGAGCTGGTGGTGAAGACATTAATAGTAGCTGAGCCCCACGTGCTGCACGCCTACCGCATGTGCCGCCCTGGCCAGCCACCGGGGAGTGACAGCGTCTGCTTCGAGGTCCTGGGCTTTGACATCATTCTGGACCGCAAACTCAAACCCTGGCTACTGGAGGTATAATTCTCTTTATCTACAGTATATGTACAGCATGCATGTGTGTGTAAAGCTGGGTAAATTGGAGAAGTGTGTTTCTCTCAAAAGCTAGAATATATTTTGGATTTTGGTAATTTCACTAATAATTTGAGATATTTAATTTCTAGACTACTATTACTATTTTTCTGTATACTGTCAGTATGTCATGCTAAGCTACTATTTGTGTGCTATTTTAAAAACACTTTCAACAAAGAGTGAAGGTACACTTGTATTCTGTCTTCTGTGATTTCTAACGTTTCTGTAAAGTCTCACCTGTCTGCGCTGCTGCTGAAGTGACAGCGGCTCCAGACTGATGTAATGTGGTATAAGCAGGAGACAGGGAGACGTTACCGCACACTGACAGAAAGCATAAACACACACTGATTTGTGCCCACACGCTCTGGTCGCCACACACAAACACCCACACGGTCTGCAGTACGTGTTTACGCGCCGAACACACGGAGAGACTCTCGTAAAATGAAAGGAACTCACACAATCGCAGCCACGCATGCTTGATTACACGCATGCGGGCATTCATGCACATCCGTAGATGCATACAGAAATGCA